GTGCGTGGTCGCCATGCCTGATCAAACCGTATAAAATTTGTCCCAAACACAATATCTGAGAGACATAAACAAAATAAAAGTCACTCAATTTCCTCACCGTGCTAAGATGTATAAATACCAAATATAAAATCCTCGTAGCACTTAGTATTTCAGCTATTAAAACACAAATTAGCAGAGCTTTCTTTGTGCATATTTACAGCCGATTCGCCAGGCAAGAAGATGACGGTGGCAGTGAGTGTGATGGAGGGTGGGGAAGGGTATTTTGAGAATTGCAATTAAATGCCAGGTAGCGACGTGTCCTACTAATATTACTTATTAGTAATTATTAGATGTTTTAAATGCCTGTATGTTGGCCTGGCGAGTTAATGCTAGGCATTTATATACATAGGTATAAAGCTAGACGTCGCATTCTGGATTGAACAAAAAATTACAGTATCTTTGTATCTTGTATACCTGGACTGTCTATATACATGCTGAATCAATGTACAGTAAAGAAATATGACATAATTTAATGAAATATCTATCTATTTATCTATCTATCTATCTAACATAACTCAGCTGCTACTGACAAAGTGATGCTCATAACTATCCAGGTAATGACAATAACATACAGTATTTTAACAACGCACAGTAATCAATTCATTACAAATAAATACGGTAATAAAATTAATTAAGTTTCTGCATTAAGACATGAAATACTATACTGTTTACATATTTCCTTATATGAGTCTTACTTATCATGGAGTGTTCCAGCCAGGACCTCTAAAATCTCCGTACACTGTCTGTGATAATCAAGCAAGTTCTCTGCGAAGGTTGCAAGCTGCGAGATCTGTTCAACCTGTAGTAAAATACCATGTGCTAGTAATAGTTCACTTTGTTATATACAGTACTGTACTGTCTATTATTACTCATGAACATTATAGTTAGAAAATATAAAACATTGGATAATGATTGAAAACTATGGAATTTTCTCATGTTTAAATATATAGAAAAACAAGCACAATATGTTTCCATCAAACATGTTATCTTCCTGCAAAGTTTTCCACCTGATACAATTCCATGTAACAAATCCTCTTTTCCCAGTAAAATCCATAACATAACTGGTGATGCTATTCTGAGAAAACATCTTGCCTTCTTTAAGGAAATACTTTACGCCCCAAAAGTAATACCTGTACATATATACAATCTTACATATTTAATATGTACAGTACAAAAATAGTACAGTACTTGTATAATATATATAGTACTGTATTTACAACATAGTACAGTACACCATTTCATAAATAGAAATACAATACTGTATACTTTAAAGACAATGTATGAGATGTGACTGAAATATTGAGACTGATCTTTTAACAAATACATCTGAAATTAAAAACACCGCAAAAAATATTGATCCCCTCTGCATAATTAGCTGTGTTTATACAGTATGCATGCTTTCACCGTGCGAAAACCAGCTCCCCAAATTTGTCAAGGCAGGAATATATAACATCTGGCAACTCTACGGTGTTTCCCGCACGACTAGAAGTTGGAGAAACTTGGCCAGTACCCCACTTGCTATCGATCAGGGTGCGCGTTAATTTTTGCTCACCAAGCTCATAAGTGGAAATTAAGACACGCCCACAATTAGCCCCAAATTTTCTTTAAAAACCATATTCATGACTCCCAAAAAGATATCTGAGGCAAAGAACGGTTGGATCCTTGCCCTGCCAGAGGAAAGTCACTGTGAGAGAAATTTCAAGGAGAACAGGACGAGGAATGGCAACAATTAAGAGGCTCAAGCGATAGACATGCAACCTTCCCGCCAACATTATTTCACCAAGGAAATTATCACCAGGAAGACCTCCAAATGCACTGATTCACTACTGAGGCTTGAGATAATAAGAGATCCTAATATGAGTGCATCACAACTGAAGAATGCACACCCCATCCTCCTGCTAAACGTATCAGAATGAACAATTCAACATTACCTTCAAAAGGAACTTCATCCGCCTTCCCGTCAAGTTGCACGAAAACCACTTCTCACAGGCCTGAATGCGGCGTCAGCGGCTTGCTTTTGCAAGAAAATACCAGCACTGGGACAAAGAACAATGGAATTCTGTGATGTGGTCTGATGAAAGCACATTTTTGCATCCTGACTGCAGGGAAACGAACAGTCAGAAAGCCCACCAACACCAGCCGGTTTGATCCTCATTACACCATTAAAACCGTGAAACATCCTGCAAGTGTGACGGTGTGGGGAGCGTTCAGTGGAAAACGTGGTCGTGCTGGCCTCCATTTCCTCCTCCCAAAACACGACAATGAACTCTGATCGGTACAAGACTGTCTTGGAAAAACATTTATTGGATTATTATCAACTTCACCAGTCCACATTCTTCATGCAAGACGGTGCCCCCTATCACAGTCAAACTGTGTGACAACTTGGCTTCATGAAAGAGCTATCCCATTCCTGGAGTGGCCTGGGAACTCACCAGATTTAAACCCCATCGAGAATGTATGGCACGAGATGAAGCGGAAGCTGTCAACACATGACACATCAACTGTACATCGGCTACAGGAGGAAATCAAGCACATGTGGGAGTTTGAGATGGATGGAGAGTATTTTCAAATGTTAGCAGAATCCATGCCAAAAAGACTTCAACTGGTAATAAAATGTAAGGGAAATATGACTAAGTACTATATAGTAGTAGAATAAAACATTTTAGGCTGTAAACGTATTATATTCATCCTTGAAACTATTTTTTGTATGAACATCATGTGAAAATTTAAAGGGGATCAATATTTTTTTTTGCGGTAATGGTATATTATACAGTATATCCAACAGGGTGTTGTTTGCTGCAAATGAGTCACCTTGCAAGACTCTACACGAATTCCAACAATGATGCCATAACTACTGATACTTCCTTCACTTCCTTTGGTAGTACAGCATCTGCCCCACATAACATAAATACAGTACTGTACAGTACTGTACTCTTGTACCCTACTCGGGTGAAACTTGGTAACAGTGATAATATGACAATGATGATAATGACACCATTTATTAAAGCAACTTTGTATTCTCAAAGATGTCCTTCACTTCAGGGTGTTCACGTCCTTCTGCAGGAGCTGCAGGAGATTAATGGGTATGCATGTCTCTCTTGATAATTGTGATATCAATCTACTGAAATATTATACTGTACAGTATTCTAAGAGATGTTTCTTACTATGACATATCACTGACTACTTACATCATTCTCCAGGAGGTTGTGCATGCCCATCTGTGCCAAGTGCAACGATTCAGCAAACTTGTCCTCTGCCATTTTAATTTCATCATCAGTAACATGGGAGCCTGCTGGAAGACAAACATCAGGTTCCTGTCAATTCACTTTGTGTGTGCTGCTGACTTCTAAGTCTTAATACCTCATTCAAAATATTTATAAAAGAGGAAAGCCAGAAAGAACATAATAAATTAAAATAAATTATAACTTCCCTTCAATGAATTGTGACAAACATTCTGAAACTTCAAATTATTGTACTATTAATCTGAAAGAAGTTTTAAGTAAGTTTAATTTTCCCTAACTTAATGCCATACAGAAATTAGAAGAGAAACTTCCCATCAAATAAAAACTTGTACTGTATAAAGCAGATGGTTAAGCCATCACCACATGAATCAGTACAACACACCTTGCCAGTAGCAGCCAAGGAGAGATAATTGTTAAGTTGATGAGAGGAAAAATGGACAAAGTTATCATCAATAACTTCAGCATTTCTACATAACTTTTCAATAAACTACAGCAACAAATAAATATTTATCATGAGGCAACAAGCAAAAGTAAATTATATCTACAAAAGCCTTTTCACTGAGCTACTAGAATAAAACAACTCCATTGTTTAGTTGGCTACTTGGAGTATCCCCACTCATCCTCAACTCAACACACATAAGTCACAGTCATACTATCCAACATAAATCCCCCAAAATAATTATCTTACAAATCAACACTGTAGACCCCAATCCTAATACCCTGTAGTTACATTAGGTTAGGTTAACAAACTCCACCTAATGCACCATGAATCTTTGACTTGTGCCTCACTCTATTCTGAAACATGAAACATCTCAAAAGCAGTTATCTTTCTCACCAGTTCCTACCATTGCCAAGTATCAACATGTGTCACCAGTAACTCCCATTACAAAGTACTGTACAGTAGTATTAAGATGTGCCACTAGTGTCTTGACATAGACTGTACCATAAAACACGAAGACATCTGAGTTGCATGTATTACTGAGAGAAATTATCTATTCTCTATGTATCCACAACTGTGCATCATTATTAGCAAGGGTTCAGAGTAACTTTCACAAAGATTATAGACCAATATGAGTAAAGAGGTTATGAGGGTCCCGAGGTAAGAAGCAGAAAAAAAAAATGCAGTTAAAAATTAGCAACTTTGCTGCTTGTTTTGTTCTTGCTCAGAGTCCCTCATAGAGTCCAATAAAAGAAGAACTATGAGGTAAGATGCTTCAATAAAAGAAATGTGAGGTAAGCCTGATTTAAGCTGCTTCAATGAAAGAAGAAATGTGAGGTAAGCTTGATGTAAGCTACTTCAATAAAAGCATCAATCTTGGCAGAGTGCAATACATTCATCACATGCTTAAATGGCAACTTCGATTCACACATAAAGCACACACTTTGATGCAGGCATCACAAACTGGAAGGAAGATCACCTTTACAAAAGTTGCCATAAATAATGAAATCTTGACTTTGAATATACAGTACATGCAGAGTATGTATCCACATGAAATATATACCAGTGTACAGTAAAGGAGGGTCATATCTGTATACAGTATAAGGAATACATGCATGATGTTCATATTTTATGTTGATGAAGTAGGAAAAAATTAAAATATTCCTGACAAACAGCTGCTATGCTGTACTATAAAAAATAAAATATTATTATGGGTCACCACCGATTTTCCGGTACCCTTGGTTCCAAAGCCTTGCCGGATTATCCGTTTTGCCGGACCAACCGAGGTCAGGTAATAAAAATTCAACAATATACCTCTGACCCACTAATGATACACCTACTGTGTCTGTAAAGCATCATGAACTGCTAGAAACTTAAATTAAACTATGTGATGTTTATACTCAAATTAATCACTATCTTACAAATGATTCCAGCAATGCAATTTATATTCTGCTAAATCTAGTCAGCTACATTTCATAAGATAAAAACTTTTAGCCTAAAACTAGCTTCACCCTGGCTGGGAGGCAGGGAAGGAGGGAAGTTAAGTGCCCTCTCATAATTTGTCCGCACTAAAGGAGGTGCCGGACCATCAGTTCCCGGATAATCGGTGGTGTGCCTGATATAAGAATTTTCTTTCCTGACTAAATGATGACCACGGCAGGGTAATTCTTAAAGCTTGTTAATGTTACAGTCAAACTCACTCCTCATGAGTCAATACATCATTAATTTTATATTAATAAATAATATACACAACAGTAATTCTCCAGATATATTCAATCTCCATATATTGAAGAGGTTACTGAGCATATCTTGACAGCTCAGTACTCAGACAAATAATGAGGTTCAGATTAACTTCTACTTTATTTATGTTTAATCCACTTAAATTAACATTTGTGCTGCCAAATCCTTTCTTTGTCATCACCATCTTTGCTCTCTTCTTGTCTCTAATTCATTAATTTTTTTATCAAAGTCTGTTTCGTAAAACTTTGTCCAAATTCTATATTATCCATGTATGTCTGACATGCTCCTACTGCCTGCTCTTGTACCTCTATACAACCTCAGTACCACAACACTAAGGCTTGGGGAACTGCATACAATATTCATATACATTGTACTGCACTGCTCCTCCCATCTCCTCCACTGCAGAAAATTTTGGATAGAGGAATCCCGATTTGCACGCCTGAGCCAAGCTCAAATCCCGGCTCAAACCACCATTCTGAATTCGGGCCTCAGTGTTCTTGAGTTTTCAGGTCATTTGATTCTGAATTTGTTTCTGGGATAAAGGGAATAATTAATTTTCAGTATAGTCTGCATTTACGCGGATTTTGTTTACGCGTATGGTCATTTACGCTGTGCCTTGCCAGAATGAAAATGCTTTAATTACGCGATAAATTTGGTCATTTACGCGGAGAGCAGCTGGAGAGGTCCAGACCGCCGCGCCATTTTTTATCCACGCGGTCCATTCTTGACCATACGCGGGAAGCGGCGCAGTGAGTGGTACGCATTAGGCCGCTCTTACGTTATCGCTGATGTCATATGACGTATCGGACTGTGATTGGGCCACGCATCCTTACCACCCATGCATTCCCTCTGCCGCTAACTGTGATTGGTCTAATGCAGGGGTCACCAAACTACGGCCCGCGGGCCAGATCCCAAGTCCTTCCCCGGCTCGTGGTAGCTCCGCCTACTCTCTGACGTTACCAGAGCTTTCGTTCTGGCTTGCAAGTATTGAACAGAATGATTATGCGGCCCGCGCTCGTCATTCTTTCAGTTATCCGGCCCACTGTGAAAAAAGTTTGGTGACCCCTGGTCTAATGTAACATGACGTGCCCTGCCACCAGAGGGTAGAAGTCGCTGACCTAGCAGGGCCTGTCTCATTGTTCTCAGTCCGCGTATACAGTTCTCTCTTGTGCCCGCTATTCCCGTCACAACTCACAATGGCTTCAGCAGGAACCCCACCACCAGAGAAAAACATTGAATTACTTGGACCAAGCCATGATAATGTGAAGGAAATCATCGCGTTGGGGGAGAAACTTAAGCTCATCCTTGACAACGACCCAGACAAGCATCGGTATGAAGAGTCTAATAACCATCTGACGAAAGTTATGGAGCCGTATATCCAGATCTATCTCGACAACATCAATGCTAGTCGTCAACGTAGTATTAAGGGCTTCCTCGCCCGCAACCCACCACAACCACAGCCAGCCCAAGTCAGTGATAGTGAGAGTGAGGATATGGAAGGGTTTGTCTGGGAGGCCCTGCAAACCTCTGCGAGTAGTGAAAGTGATTCACCGGAGGGCAACTAATCTGCCCTCTGCCTCGGAACCAGCCGCCATCCACGTGTGCCGACCCATCTTTTCTACAAACTTAAGTGTTAAAAAACCTAATATTATTGATATTTCTCTTAAATATTAATTGTGTGTGCATACCATCATAAAATTAAGATGTTATTTTTACTATAACGTACGTATTGTGTCGGAAAAAGCGGAGTTTGGGGGTCGGCCCAGTCTCTATTTCAATTAATCCCATATGTTCTGTTATTTCATTTACGCGTTTCTCGTTTTACGCGGTACTCCACGGGTTCAATTGACCGCGTAAATGCAGACTATACTGTATTTGTCATATTCTTTTTTTTTTTGGTGCTAATGAAGATACTATGTCAGCCATGTTATAAATTATCTAAACAAAAAATTACCCTTTTTTAATTTATTCTGCAAACTTTTTTTAATAACAGTGAAGTGAGTGAAATGGAGTTGAGTACAGTATTAAAAGTACAGTAATATACAGTACTTTTAGCACTTGCCAATTTAGATCCAAAACAAGAGATAAATTCACTAGCTGGTATCCTTAAAAATAATAAGATTTAATATGTCATTGCACAGTGTACTTACTACTGTGTTACCATTGTATTGGTACAAATAAAAGTTCCACAAATATCCTTTACCATTTTAAATACACAAAAAAGAAGTGAACAAAGATCCCAAGTAAGGATGTGTTTGTAAACTTGAATACAGCAATACACATTATAATAAAGTTAAAGTATGTAAGGCTCATTATGAATCTGTATACAGTATGCCATTTCTCCTCTTGATGCCAGTCATTGTGTATGTCCTCACTCATATAAAGATGTTACATACTCTTCATAAGTGAGAAACATAACTTCATTTGTTCCAAAAGCTACTTTCATACAGTACAAAATTATCATAAGCAAATTATGCTGTACTGATATGGCCCACATGTATGAACTCAGTAAAGAGGACACGTGTGTAAGTCTACATGTACAGTACGTACCCCCCCAGCCCGGGCTGCGAGCTGGACTACCACTGGGCGTGATGTTATATGCTAGAACATAAACAGAAACCAATTAGCTTCCTCCCTGGGATATAACACTTATCTGTAATACTGCACCTTCTGTCGGGTAACTTAGTGTTAGTAACCATAATGCTGTAATGTACCTGTAATGTACTTATTACCAGGCATACATATTAATTCTAAACAACCATATTATTAGGTAGGAGTGATTATTTTACAAGGACTTTTCTTTCTTCAAAATAAAGCATTGATTAAACTTATAAATTCAAGATTTTGATTTTTTTTCCATTCCAATGAAATCAATGAAAGCTTATTATGATTACATGAAATACTTGGAGAAAAAAAAGGGGAGAAGTGTACTGTACATGTTTAACCAAGAATAATTTAAGAATCATGTTGGTAAAATCCATCACAATGCTAAAGCTGGATTTTCACATCAGAATGTGCTTTTAAAATCAAGAGGAGTTTACTTTAATACATGAGTTTAACATAAATTAATTTTCCCTTCTCATCTGGGTTTAAAAAAAAATTAAGAAAAATATATTGTTATGATGTATCTTATACTTTTCTACTATAAAATGATACAAAGTAGAGACAGCCCATTCTTCTGCTTGAGTCACAAGACAATGACCAAGACAGAATTGACAACTGATAAGCATAAGTGTCGAATTCTGTTTAGCAAGTGTCTGTTCATGCTGTTGTGATGGGTTTAAATCATAACTGTGAGGTATACAGGTTCACTGAGCACCAGTGAGTGTACTGTACTGTATATATTAACCAAGTGCTGACAAACATGGCTCAGTAAGGCAGCAGTCTGGTGATGATCCCTACTACCTAACTATTGGAAGCTGCACCCAAAACACAGCAAAAATCATGCAAGATTCCAATGGAACAGCCTCTCATGCAACATTCCAAAGGAACAGCCTCTCATGCAAGATTCCAAGGAAACACCTCATGCAAGATTCCAATGAAACACCTCATGCAAGATTCCAATGAAACACCTCATGCAAGATTCCAATGAAACACCTCATGCAAGATTCCAATGGAACCACTTATCATGCAAGATTTCCCACATTCTTCAATATAGTATAGACACATCATGACGTTTAATAATTTTGTTTTTATTTTGAAATTAAAAGGGTTCTAATTAATATAAACAGGAGCGTTTTGTGCAGCAGGAAGACTGTGGGTAAAAGTGCACCAACTTAAATACTGTAATATCCATTATCACTTTCCTCAACAACAGAGAAAGAGTGAGAAAAACAATATATCACAGTTCTAAACAAAATTATTACTGGACAAACAAATATTAATAAGCTGTGTCTCAGTTTTTACATTAAAGTAATGCATCTGAACTGGTCTTATACAGCAGCTCCTCAACAAGAACACTGTATACAGTACAACACTCAGTTCTTCAGCCACCCCACTCACTAAGACAACAGCTGCTCTCATATGACGGGTTAAGGATAACTATGACTGAAAATGAATCTCACTCTCTGTGCATGATCTCAAAACTGTTTATAATTTTGGAATTTTTGCTTCTTAGTAGTAACAAGATCTGGAATTCCAAATTTCAAAAATATCTAAAATTTGGATGACTTCAGGCCTAGACCTTAAAATCTATAACTCAGAAAACCTACAAACTTTCATGGCAATAAATTAAATACTGTACAGTACAGTGCGTACAGTATACACTTTTTTCTTATGTTTGTATTATTTTATTTTTATTTTCAGTCTTTCTGCCAGTTATAACATAGTACTGTATATTTATACTGCATACAGGCAGCCCTCGAGATATGAACATTCGTGATAAGAAAATTCACCTAAACGAATTTCCTAAATTGATATCACTATTTCGATAAACAAAAGTTTCTCCCGCTTATATGAATTTGGGTCTGGGCAAAAATCAAACAGTATGCCCCCGGGAGTCAGCTGGGGTGGCCTCATTCCCCTAGCACTCTCCCTACCAGGCAGAGGCAGGAGTTATGTTTTGGTTATTTCTCAAATCACAATTTTGAGTATACTGTACTGTATAAACATAACTTTCTTCATATATTTTTAATTCATTTAATGCACACACAATCCTACATACAGAATGTGCCAAAAAATAATAATAACAATAAAAATTATCATAAGGTAAAAAATATAAAGGGAATAAACATTTGATGTGTGTGTGGGACTTGTCACAGAGCGAGGTAGACATACATAAATTTCTAATGTTTTTTTTTACTCTTACATGCACACACAATCTTTCATACACAATGTGCAAAAAAATAAAAATAAATGAAATGATTATAATAAGGTCAAAAACATAAGGGGAATAAATATTTCTTACGTCCCTGGGAATCGTGGGAGGGGAAGGGAGGAATGGGAGGGGGTGCAGTGTCGGTATTCCAGCCTCCCGCCAAGGTGCGAGCTGCATTATTGTTATTTTTCAACTCGTATTTTTGGGTCTATACAGTGTACAGTATATGTAATTTTCTTCTTTGTTTTACTCTTTTACAAGCACACACAATCTTCATACAGAATGTGCAAAAATACATTTGTAGCAATACCGGTAATTATCATAAGGTCAAAAACATAAAAGGAATTAAACATCTATTATGTGTATGGGAGCTAGCACAAGTGAGGGAGGAAGGGAGCGAGCTTTGTTCCCTCACCCTCACAGCACAAGTGAGGGAGGAAGGGAGCGAGCTTTGTTCCCTCACCCTCACAGCACAAGTGAGGGAGGAAGGGAGCGAGCGGTGTTCCCTCACCCTCACAGCACAAGTGAGGGAGGAAGGGAGCGAGCGGTGTTCCCTCACCTTCACAGCACAAGTGAGGGAGGAAGGGAGCGAGCTTTGTTCCCTCACCCTCACAGCACAAGTGAGGGAGGAAGGGAGCGAGCTTTGTTCCCTCACCCTCACAGCACAAGTGAGGGAGGAAGGGAGCGAGCTTTGTTCCCTCACCCTCACAGCAAAAGTGAGGGAGGAAGGGAGCGAGCTTTGTTCCCTCACCCTCACAGCACAAGTGAAGGAGGAAGGGAGCGAGCTTTGTTCCCTCACCCTCACAGCACAAGTGAGGGAGGAAGGGAGCGAGCTTTGTTCCCTCACCCTCACAGCACAAGTGAAGGAGGAAGGGAGCGAGCTTTGTTCCCTCACCCTCACAGCACAAGTGAAGGAGGAAGGGAGCGAGCTTTGTTCCCTCACCCTCACAGCACAAGTGAGGGAGGAAGGGAGCGAGCGGTGTTCCCTCACCCTCACAGCACAAGTGAGGGAGGCGACTTGTTCTCCAGCACAGTGAGGAGGAGGGGGAGGAGGAGGGGAGCTTTGTCCTCACCCTCACAGCACAGTGAGGGAGGAAGGGAGGCCGGCTCCCTCACAGCACAAGTGAGGAGGAGGGGCGAGGCTTTGTTCCTCACCCTCACAGCACAAGTGAGGGAGGAGGCGAGCTTTGTTCCCTCACCCTCAGGCATAGAGTGAGGGGAGGAGGAGCGAGCTTTGTTCCTCACCCTCACAGCACAAGTGAGGGAGAGGAGGCCGAGCTTTGTTCCCTCACCCTCCCAGCACAAGTGAGGGAGGAAGGGAGGCAGAGGTGTTCCTCACCCTCACAGCACAAGTGGGGAGGAAGGGAGCGAGCTTGTTCCTCACCCGCACAAGTGAGGGAGGAAGGGGCGGCTGTTCCTCACCCTCACAGCACAAGTGGGGAGGAGAGGGCGAGCTTTGTTCCTCACCCTCACAGCACAAGTGAGGGAGGAAGGGAGCGAGGCTTGTTCCTCACCCTCACAGCACAAGTGAGGGAGGAAGGGAGGCAGCGTGTTCCTCCCTCACTACAGAGGAGGGTGCTCACCCCAGCACAAGTGAGGAGGAAGGGCGGCGTGTTCCCTCACCCTCACAGCACAAGTGAGGGAGGAAGGAGGCGTGTTCCTCACCTCCAGTGGGGTGTTCCTCACCCTCTGGCAAAGTGAGGGAGGAAGGGAGGCGGCTGTTCCTCACCCTCACAGCACAAGTGAGGGAGGAAGGGAGGCAGCTTTGTTCCCTCACCCTCACAGCACAAGTGAGGGAGGAAGGGCGCTTTGTTCCTCACCCTCCCGAGGGGAGGAGGGAGCGAGCTTTGTTCCCTCACCCTCCAAGCACAAGTGAGGAGGGAAGGGGCGAGCTTTGTTCCTCACCCTCACAGCACAAGTGAGGGAGGAAGGGAGCGGCGGTGTTCCTCACCCTCACAGCACAAGTGGGGAGGAAGGGGCGGCGGTGTTCCCTCACCCTCACAGCACAAGTGAGGGAGGAAGGGAGCGACGGTGTTCCCTCACCCTCACAGCACAAGTGAGGGAGGAAGGGGGAGCTTTGTTCCTCACCCTCACAGCACAAGTGAGGAGGAAGGAAGGCGGCGGTGTTCCCTCACCCTCACAGCACAAGTGAGGGAGAAGGGAGCGGCCTGTGTTCCCTCACCCTCACAGCACAAGTGAGGGAGGAAGGGAGGCGGCTGGTCCCTCACCCTCACAGCACAAGTGAGGGAGGAAGGAGGCGGGCGTGTTCCCTCACCCTCACAGCACAAGTGAGGGAGGAAGGGAGGCGGCTTTGTTCCCTCACCCTCACAGCACAAGTGAGGGAGGAAGGGCGAGCTTTGTTCCTCACCCTCACAGCACAAGTGAGGAGGAAGGGAGCGGCGTGTTCCTCACCCTCACAGCACAAGTGAGGGAGGAAGGGGGCGGCGGTGTTCCCTCACCCTCACAGCACAAGTGAGGAGGAAGGGGGCGGTGTTCCCTCACCCTCACAGCACAAGGTGAGGAGGAAGGGAGGCGAGCTTTGTTCCTCACCCTCACAGCACAAGTGAGGGAGGAAGGGAGACTTCTCACCCTCACAGCACAAGTGAGGGAGAAGGGAGGCGGCTTTGTTCCTCACCCTCACAGCACAAGTGAGGGAGGAAGGGCGGCGATTTCCCTCACCCTCACAGCACAAGTGAGGAGGAAGGGGCGGCGGTGTTCCTCACCCTCACAGCACAAGTGAGGGAGGAAGGGACGGTGTTCCCTCACCCTCCAGCACAGTGAGAGGAAGGGGGGCGGTGTTCCTCACCCTCTGGCCAAGTGAGGGAGAGAGGGGCGGCGGTGTTCCCTCACCCTCACAGCACAAGTGAGGAGGGAGAGGGAGCGGCGGTGTTCCCTCACCCTCCACAGCACAAGTGAGGGAGGAAGGGGCAGCTTGTTCCTCACCCTACAGCACAAGTGAGGGAGGAGGAGCTGAGCTTGTTCCTCACCCTCCCGGCACAAGTGAGGGAGGAGGAGGCGAGCTTTGTTCCTCACCCTCACAGCACAAGTGAGGGAGGAGAGGGGAGGCTTGTTCCCTCACCCTCACGGCACAAGTGAGGGAGGAAGGGGATGAGCTGTTCCCTCACCCTCCTGGCACAAGTGAGGGAGGAAGGGGCGAGCTTGTTCCCTCACCCCTCGCACAAGTGAGGGGAGGAAGGGAGGCGAGCTTTGTTCCTCACCCTCACAGCACAAGTGAGGGAGGAGGGGGCGATGGGTTCCTCACCCTCACAGCACAAGTGAGGGAGGAGGGGCCGGCTTTGTTCCCTCACCCTCACAGCACAAGTGAGAGGAGGAAGGGGAGCGAGCTTTGTTCCTCACCCTCACGCACAAGTGAGGGAGGAAGGGAGGCGGCGGTGTTCCTCACCCTCACAGCACAAGTGAGGAGGAAGGGAGGCGAGCTTGTTCCTCACCCTCAGCACAAGTGAGGAGAGAGGGAGAGCTTTGTTCCCTCACCCTCACAGCCAAGTGGGGAGGAAGGGAGGGGCGGTGCTCACCCACAGTGGGGGGAGGGGCTGTTCTCACCTCACAGCACAAGTGAGAGGAGGGAGCGGGCTTTGTTCCTCACCCCTGCCAGTGAGGAGGAAGGGAGGCGAGGCTTTGTTCCTCACCCTCACAGCACAAGTGAGGGAGAGGGGCCGAGCTTTGTTCCCTCACCCTCCAGCACAAGTGGGGAGGAAGGGGCGAGCTGTTCCTCACCCTCACAGCACAAGTGAGGGAGGAAGGGAGGAGCTTTGTTCCCTCACCCTCATGGCACAAGTGAGGGAGGAAGGGAGCGACGGTGTTCCTCACCCTCACAGCACAAGTGAGGAGGAGGAGGCGGCGGTGTTCCCTCACCCTCACAGCACAAGTGAGGGAGGAGGGAGGCGGCGGTGTTCCTCACCCTCATACAGTGAGGAGGGCAGGGCAGGCAGTGTTCCTCACCTCACAGCACAAGTGAGAGAGGAAGGGAGCGGCGGTGTTCCCTCACCCTCACAGCACAAGTGAGAGAGGCAGGGAGCAGGTGTTCCTCACCCTCACAGCTCTACTGACAAGATTGCCAAATGGAATGTAATACAGTATGTTTTTCTTTCTTTTTATTTATTATTACTAATTTTATTCATTCCTCACATTTACTGGTACAGTACTCGTATATATTATTTTATGTACAAAGACTAAGTTCTTTTACCGCAAATCATCCTCTCGGTGATGTGATACATTCAACTGCCTAATCTGGCAGTGACCGAGATGGGCAAACTCAACACATCAGAGTGGATTACATGTTATGCCCTGCCATAAGTAATGTACCAAGTTAAACAGTACGATACTTATATTTTTCTTGCATTAGATAGTAAATGAGGTAGTTGTGCACCATTTATCATTAGTTAGGTAGGTTTGTTCTTGTTTGTGAACCGATTTTGTGTTTATCTATTCGTGATAAGTAAATTCACCCTAACGAATGGTTTTGGAAGCTAACCCATTCATATCTCGAGGGATACCTGTACAGTACTTCATTCAATACTATCTTCATTTTTTGGAAGTTGGTATATTTTCAGGTTATATTGTTCTCATACACTCTGTAAACATAATTTCTCTATGTTTATACAGTATTACAATTCAGAAAAATCCACATTTCAGAAAGGGCCCAGTCCTAATTGATCCAAATTTTAGAGGTTCCACTGTACTACTGAACTCTTTGTAGAAGCAACAAGGCACATCCAGGCTTCAGTATTTATATACTGTACTCTGATCTATACAATCAATCTATTATTCAGCAGTTAAGTTGCAATAAAATTTAGTGCTTATCTGTTTAGACAAGGAGTTCACACAACACACAATAACAACATCCAGAAACAACATACACAGATATTTACCCTTATCCTTTTTCTCTTCTTGCAATCGAAGTCTAACCTCCTTCCTTGCAGCTTCACGGTGGTGCTGTGAAAGATACACATAAAATTATATCACGTGCAAAAACATAATAAAATAATAAGTAAGGTATAGGAACAATACTGAAGAGTTCATAGAATGAAGATCATCATACAGTACAATAAGTCCTCGTTTTACGTTAACCCCGATAACGTTGTTTCTTTCTTATCTCGGCTATTCTTTAGATACAGTATTGTATTACACCACAATACCAACATCCTTCATGTTGTGTTGGCTAGATGGCTCTGAAAAGAAATTCTGTAAGTTTTATCTACGTATTAACCCAGCTGGGCTGGCATCGTGAAACCTCGACCAACTCAACTTTAAAACAAAGCGAGTAGACTTGAGGGTAGACTAGAGGTAGACTCGCATTTTTCTACATAACACTTTTGTCGTGTTTCTTATTATTTGTGAGAGGATTTCCCATTATTATTTGTTTGTATGTATTTTTAATAATAATAATAATAATAATAATAATAATAATAATAATAATAATAATATTATTATTATAACAGTTTATTGAAAGAGCATAGCAGAAGGCTGAAAACATAGTTACATAATTGGGGAATGGGTCATGATTGACAGTTACATAAGTGATAGAAATGATATAGAAGTCCGCTTAAGTCGTGGTTATGTTCCTGTAAACCACAACGTTAGCGAAATTATTTTCCCCATAAGAAATAGATAAACACGCTAATTCACGTTCCCCAGCCTCCACATAGCCAGCATCTTCTCCATCACAGAACCGAGCACGACCTGTCTTTGTTGCATTCATAAGTACCACTTCCAGCACTAGCCTTAATCTTGTCTGTGCTGGTCCTGACAGTCACGCTGTTGTGGGGGTTAGACCTAGCGAAACACCAATGTCCACCGCCGCGTTCATCTCTCTCAAAACAGTTTAAAACCTCCATTTTCGTAGCAAGGCTAATGGTTTTGCGTTGCTTCTTCAACACTAGCATCACTAACACTTGATGGGTGCTTGGTAGCCATTTCAAATGGTTACACTACAGTATTTATAGCAAGAACATAGCACACACGTATGGTGTGGAAGCTTAACAAAGACTGGAGAAAACGCTTGAGGGACGGCTGTGGCTCGTGAGGCGTGGCGAACCAAGATGAGCGAGGTGGCCATACAAAGTAGTCGTGTTGGGTGACAACGTTATAACGAATCGGTTGGGTCGTAAAACAATGTTGTCGGAATCATGGGTATCTAAAGAGTAACGTTATAATGAAACAACATTATAGAGGGAATGTTAAGCGAGGACTTATTGTAAATAATAACTAAGTGGGGAGAAGGTTGTAGTACAGGGCATTTCAACATAGTGACAGGGCAAAAAGGTAAGATTGGCTGGAAGTGAATATATACACTGGTTGATTAAGAGTTGTTGATAATTTTTATAATGGTTGGGGCTGGGCTGTTCTTATATTGTGATGTATGTGTGTGTCTAAAACACACATATGTATACAATACATAAAATAAATAATTGTCCTAGAGGGCAAACACACAAAGGAATATACATTTCTTTGCACACAAGTAAAATGTACCCCCCCTCCCCGGTCAGCAAATGTTATTAACAGTTAGTTACATTTGAACCTAGTACAATTTGAATCTTGCACATAGTAGAAAATTTTTCAGTAACATGAGGTTCAGTCTAAGAAAGATTTATCTGTGTCCACTATGTAACCATTCATCTGGCAACAATACAGGGGCATCAATAACCCTATTGAAATATCCATTGTATATACAGTATACTTACTTTATTAAAAGGTTTCACATTAAAGATTCATCACAATAACATCAGTAATGAAATTTGACACCAACACATTGATACATTTCAACACAATACGATCAGTAGCACAAATTTGATAGTCACTCTGGACGGCCACCTTGAACATCAGTGAGGGGTTTTTGATCAGGCGTGTGAACAGGGGTTGTGGTGTAACCTACTCACTTATCTGTGACTGTGTTACGTGAGGGATGACTGTTGATGATAATGTTCAAGATTTACCTCGTGTGATCAGTTAGATGATTTACGCTAGACTTCACTGGCTCTGGGACTGAAGGATTAGGTGGTGGTGGTGGAAGCAGTGCAGTGTGAGAGTGTGAGGAAAACACCACTCTCTGCCCTGTATGACAGCAAACAGTCTCATTAAGCAGTTCAATGAGTGTCAAGATTAGTTATTATTAATTATTATCTACCAGTATTAATGTGTGTCAATAAGTGGTTGTAATTTTTGTCTTGGGTTATAGAAGTGTCTGAGGGCTGGTACAATTGACCCATTTAGCATGTAAACTATACTCACCACATAAACAATTTTCGCTTCAATGACCGTTTTCATGGTACCAATTTTATTAGTGGACTAACCAAAATTGTCTCTGAAGTTTTTCAAATTTCAACATTTTCTCAGGATAAGGGGGGGGGGGGGTTACAGCACCCCCTAGCCTCCCAACTGATGTCCCTGTCTGGTATAGTACCCCTTTCCCGCCTTCAGGGAAGTCAGCTTCCATGTCGAGGAAACTCTGGTGCCACCCATGCAGTTGAGTCCATCAACTAAGAATGCAAGTCAACACTCCCTGTCAAATCTGACTTGTCTAGCAACAAGTTGTACTCTTATGCCTCATTGTAATGTACTTCAGAGATGCATTGGCTGAATGGTTGCTTTCAAAGCCAGCAAGATTTGAGGCTCAACATGATGAACACTACTGGAGGGCTCATCTGCATCTCAAAACCTTAAAGAGCCATAAACAGGGACTCCAAGCTTCGACCTGCACATTTTTTGCTGATGAGGAAGCCATCAAGGAAGGGAAGGCAGCATAGTCACATGTCCATGCTTATAAAATAATACTTCCAGCTTGAACCCATTGTTTATAGTCAGTGAGAGACTTGCGAATATGATCCTCTTCCTTAACAAGAACATGAATTAGAAGTACAGTAGAGTAGACACTCCTTGTGTTTTACAGTCATTTCTTATGGAAAGAGACACTGTTTTGTTAATTATCAATTCTAAATAATTAAGGGGTTCGACTGATAACAAATATCTTTGTTACGTACAGTTTTTTAGTTTCTTTGTGATTACACTGCTGTACGAATGTGTTTGAATAAAAAATGTATTACATTCCCAATATAGGCTTCAATTAATTATTATGATTGATCAACAATTGGCATTAGTGTATTGTATGTGTGAAGTTGTGAACTGTGACGGAGTAATGTTTATAATCATAATGATCAGAAGCATGTATTTATTTCCAAAATGATTGGCATTATTTTTATACGAGGGAATTTATATTTCTGTAATGTAAACAGATAAGAAGTACCTCGGTACATGTTTATTTCTAAATTATTGATATTATTTTTTAAAGAAAATTAGATTTTGGTAATTAAAAAAAAATATTATACCTACCAAAGAAGTAAGGAATAAACATCTTTCATTAGTTTCTTAAGTCTACTGTATTCCCCAAATAAAATAAAATGAAAATATTTAATGCATTTACATGCTGTCCTCCCAAGACAGGAGTGAGATTAGCAGTCCCGTGACTGTGAGGCATGGGGGAGGCCTTTTAGTTGCCCCCTATAACTATATGACAGAACAGTATTTGCTTTCTTTGAGGAATCGATTCTGGGATCGATTCCTCTATTGGCACTGAGAATCGGAACCGTTGATTCCAATTTTAACGATTCTTGCTCAGTCCTATAATCCATCAACGGGTCAGTGTTGCCAAACGTACGATAATTATCGTACATGTAAGATAATTTTACCCTTGACATGATAAACAATATCTTTTCCTATTATTGCATGATTTGTATGATAATTTTAGGTTCAAATCTGAGAGCACAGTAATTGAGTACCAAAATTGCCCATGTCATCAATGGCTGTCTTAGTCTGCCTACTAAAGTACAAAGACTTTCAATGAGTGTCTTATTTTGCCTGCCAACATTAATGATAGCTCATTAATGCAGAAGTTAGATGACCAGTAAAGAATGTTGCCAATGTATCAGGATAATTTAACTGTTATTGAAACTGAGTCACCTGATGGGTTCTGGATTGTAATGAAACAAAAATAACCAGCTTTAGCAGACCTGGTAAATTTTGCACTGATTGCTCTTAGTCTGCCATATTACAATGATGAATGTGCGAGTGTTCAGCAAAGTGAATATCTTAAAACTAAACAAAGAAATAAGTTAAAAACTGAAATGGTAAATGGAGCTCTTCTCTCATACAGTGCCTCAAAAGTTCAGGGTCATGTGAACAATTTATTCCATCAAATGATATGCTGGCTCATATGGCTAATCATACAAAGATATATCAAAACTTGACAGCTGAGGATCTTGAATAATAATGTTCATATACTTGAGGAATTTCTTTTTTACAATATGGTATTATCATCTCAATTACTGATGTTTATGCTAATTTTCCCAGTTCTTTTATTTCTACAAATAATCTGTATAACTAACAGAAAGTGTCTGAAAAAATATTCAGTTTAATATGGCTGTACATGCCTTGTTCCTTATTATTGTTATAAGGATTTTATCTAGTTAAAAACAAAATCAGTTATGATTTCACTATTTTGAGTTTTGTGGGGAGTATTACTTCCCCAAAAAATTTCAAGATGTTGTACAGGTACAGTAACTACATCAATAAAAAGGTAATTTTCCAACAAATAAAGTTAATATACTAATAATGTCTGGAAGTGTATGATAATTTTGACAAAGAAACGATAATTTTGAGGCTCCAGCATGATAATCGACATCTGAAAATCTGGCAACACTGCATCAACACCCACACCATAGGCTTATGTAGAAAATAGTTTATTCTCAACAAATGCCTCAAGAACATGTACAGTGTTGGCTTGCTAGGAAACAGAGCCCTCACGGAGGTGGCGAATCCGCGCCTGTTCAGGCTCAAGGAGAAAACCCTGCAGTTCCGGTTCACGGTCAAGTACTTGCCAGGGAAGCGGAACTGTGCCCTATCCCGCTACCCCTCCCTCAGGGCGACGCCCAGCGCAGA